ATTTGAGCTACCTGAACCAAGCTCGCTTCATGTTAAGCATGACCATGTGGATATGGTAGATAAAAGCACCCTGTTTTCTGCAATCTTTGTTCTGTTACCTGGAAAGAGAGCTCTAACCAGAAAAGACGAGGATGTAACGTGAAATCACCCGAGTTCACCCAATAAGTAAGTTTGCCAATAAAGGTAGCTTAAGATTTCATCGAGCAATGGCTCGTTTATCATCTCATCCCTGCCTCAGCCTCTTTTTGCGGGAGCTGCAAAACTAAATCTGATGCATCAGAGCAAAAACGCATGGGAATTATTCATTTTATTTAGCCTTGGATCGAAAAAATTAGCGTTAGAGCTATCATCATTCACCTTTATATGAGATGTATTCACCATATTTCGTATGTGTTGCGGTACTCGTAGTTGAATTTTCCGAAAATGATATGAGTAGACATGACGTTCCCATTGAATTTCACATAGCCTTGCCTTCCAATATAAACGTTAGCTTTACTGATGTCATTGTGAAAAAATTCAATCATCAGTCCCTCATAACTTTACACGAAATAGAGTGAATGCATCTCATATAATTAATTTGCTAGTAGTCTTAAAACCCTACTTATGAATGAAAAACCAGTTGCCTTTGCACTTACATAAACTCAGGTTGTAGGAAGAATAATTTAGCTCTAGCCTAATGTGTAATATTATAATAATATAATTCAATTCAGATCAAACGCTAAACACTTAAACTATTGCCAAAAATGTCCTGTACCTTGATTCCAATTTAAATCAGACAATGTAAATGTTTCTGAAACAATTCTTGCGGACTTAATGCATTTGTGGGCATGCATAGATGTGTCATCCTCCTGGCTAGACGGTTCATAGGGTCACATGGTCTCGATTTTGAATCTGTAACACCAAATGAAAGTAGGATATCGAGGGTAACACCCACTAAATTTAGATGTTTCAGTGTTCATGATACCTTAGGTCCGATCGTCAATTGGTTGAAGACCGCGTCGGTAGTTAACTCCCGGAGGGCATAGCCACCAGGACCATCTCCATAGTCGTCTATTAGGACATCTACTGCAGTGAAGGAACGTAGAATTCTTACACTGTGCCAGGCGCCATCATTCAGGTTAGTTCTTCCGGGCCGAACAATCAGGTAATCAAAGTTTCCTAGATTGAAGGTAACTTGGATGCGAGTCTGAACAAGCTTGACTTCTAGGGATTGATTGCTGAAATTAAAAAGATCAAAGCAAAATGAATAAAGATGGGCGTTTCTCACAGCCTTAAGGTGAGTAGAGAGCTTAGAAGTTCTGTTTAATCGGTCACTACCAATAGGATCATCTATGAATGTTGGGAATGAAGCCTCATTTGTGCCAAAGGAGTAAACTAAGTGATGATCTTATCTTGCAAATTTTTTTCTTTTAAATAATGGAATAAGCATTAAAACAAATTATGCCTAAATATAATATCATTTTTCACAATTCAGGGTTGTGTGATGTTTGCCAGCCGAGGATATAGGTCTCATCAGATATGGCAGGTGGATTGGACTTGATTATATATTATTCACTAAGGTAGAATGGTTCGGTCAAATGAACTAAACCGGAAGTATTGAGATAATAATATTATATAATATATAATATATAATATAATATATAATATAATATATAATATATAATATGTTACATATGCATATAAATAAAAATAAATTAAAAAATATATATATATAAACTAACTGTCAATTTTCCAATGCTCAAAGAAAACATGACGGTAAATCAGTGAAAAATGTATGAGTGATGTTCTTCGAATTCCCTTTGAAAACCCTATTAGGCTATGTAAACTGGGTAAAACCACGTCTCTTGATAAAAAGGAGATTGCAACTTGCAAATTGACTTCCGTGGGAGACAAAATAATTGTGAATATACATTCGAGTGAACAAGTATTCTACGCGCTGTCACATAGTCCCTACCCTGTCATTACAGAAATCCTCGGCGCAAGAAAGTAATCTTTGAAGAAAGCCACCATGTAAAATGTTGTAATGGGGTTATCCCATGATTTGGTAGGTTATTTTATGCTATTCCATATATACTTGCAGATAAGGCAAGTGGATGAATTAAGGATATGAGGATGCATATGAACTGCTATTTCTTTAGTAAATTCGCTTATAGTTTGATTCTGAAATGTTGACACATTTCCTGGTTTGTGGTGATATTTATGCTCCATGTGTAAGGCTCTCTTGTTGCTTGGGCTATGAGAAACCAAACCGTATGCCAAACGAATCAAGTTTCCGTTTGTTTTGAGAAGATTTCATAGCTATATTATTTCTTGTAGGGCTGTATTCACCCTAGGTAGCATATGGTGATTAAGGCCTGATAATTAAATTGTCACAATTATATGAATATACCTTACGTTTCCATTGAATTTCACATAAACTGGCCTCCCAAAAATCTACCTCATCCAGAGCGAACTTCAGTTTTACCATCGCGTAGGTCTCACCAGCATCTGCAGTGGGATTCGATACAGGGTCGTGAGTATTGAGATGATGCCGCCAATACACTACAAAGTCACTGGGGTCAGTGGGCCACAGTACAGATACGAAATTATAAGTAAACTTGTCTATCAAGTTAATATGTGCCTGCCATTGCAAGCAACAACGTAAATTATTTTCAATATGGACATTTTTCGAGACTATCAGTAATTCTTAAATAGGAACTTATAGAAAAGCACAACTATTAGTCCTTAAATCACCTTAGGTGTCCAAAGGTCACAAAATTTTTATTCTATAGTTACGGATAGTATGTATATATATATATATATATATATATATATATATATGGCAGAAGATGACATTTTTATGAGCATTT